AGCTATACTGATAGTGTGCATCTCAGACCAATATTAATAGTGAAAATAATAATTCTATTATCTTTGATCTTTGAATTGAAAATCCTATGTGTGAAAACGAATCTTGGTAATTGGTAATTTTCAGATATGTAGGTGACTATGCAGCTTTTAATGGATAAAAACATAAGTAATCATGATGAAAATGAAATTGTACATCTGTTACCATGGTAATGTCCTATGAATATTAAAATAGTATTTTCTAATTGCAGAGGTCGTCTCAACGTACTGGCCAATGTTTGTCGTAAACCGCTAGAACAGCTTTTCTGTCAGTTTGATCCAAAATTAGAAGCCGCTGATGAAGGTTCGGGTGATGTCAAATATCATCTTGGCATGTCTCATGAAAGACACAACCACATCACTAGTAAGAATGTACACCTGGCTGTCTGTGCCAATCCCTCACATTTAGAAGCTGTGGATCCAGTTGTACAGGGCAAGACTAGAGCTGAACAGTTCTATAAGGGTGATACAGACGGAAAGCGGGTAAGATGCACCTTTATGGAAGTTGATCCTCTGGAACTGTCATAGACTCGTACAAAAAACATTTCTTGACTAATCATTTCCTATTATTGTAACTTGTACTTGTATGAGGGAAAGAAGAATGGGTCACTGACATTTTTTCTCTCAAAATTTCATAGTTATACAATGTATTACATGTACTCAATAGTAAAATAATGACCCAAAATTGTAGTCAATGACATTTGTTGTAAATATAGAATGTTTTACAATGTACTTATCCTTGTTTGAAAGTTATTTTTAGTGGGCTATGAATGATGAAATGGGTTTTCATTGCATTCTTTGATACCCGCTACTAAATTAAAATTTTATTCATATTATTTGACAATTTTCTCCTTAAAAAGTTCAAATACAGTTGACTAATGCTAAAATTAGTAATTATAGACATATTTTGACATAAAATGTTGTCACTTCTGTATAAAATGTGCACAAGTTCCTCAAAGCCAAAAATGGTGTCTATTTTGAATACAAATTAGTAAAGTCTGAAACATGCTCTAAATTGTTTTTTTTTCAAAATCATTGCTGTGAAGTGTATTGATGCAAAATCTTAATAAAACTGAGAATGGTTCATTGTACTGTAGCAATTTCTGATTCAATACATGGCAAGAGGGAAATGAGATGCTGCAGACCAACGTAGATGACATGTTTATTTCACTACAGGTCATGAGTATGTTGATCCATGGCGATGCAGCATTTTCTGGTCAAGGTATCGTATATGAGACGTTCCATTTATCTGATCTACCGGAATACACTGTGCATGGTACCATTCATATTGTCGTAAATAACCAGGTAAATAAAACTATTTGTATGTTGAGATATATAATAATCTGCATTGGCCCCATTTATAGATCTTGTTTTTTTGAGCTCCAATCCTTTACAAAAAAAAAATTTACATTTCAATATGTTATGAGTGACAGCTGTCACTAACAGTAGGGATGATGAAGTGCATTTGACATGTTATGCAGAAAGGTTTATACTGGGTAAAGTATTTCTAAAAGGAAAATATGTTGGCATCAAATAATTACGTTGAATTACCCTCACTATGTGATGTAATTAAGCAGTGTTTGTGAAAAGGCCTAATAAAACAGCACACAAAAATATTTTCTAATTCTGTCATCCCTAGATTGGTTTCACAACAGATCCACGTTTATCGCGATCCTCTCCTTACTGCACTGACGTTGCTAGGGTTGTGAATGCTCCTATATTCCATGTCAATGCTGACGACCCAGAAGCTGTCATGTACGTCTGTCAGGTTGCATCTGAATGGCGAGCTGAGTTCGGTAAAGATGTTGTAATTGATTTGGTGTGCTATCGACGCTATGGCCATAACGAGCTGGATGAGCCCATGTTCACGCAGCCTATGATGTACAGGAAGGTCCGTGATCACCCACAGGTGCTGCAGCTGTATTCCCGCGCCAAGATCTCAGAAGGGGTCATGACACAACAAGAATTTGAGGTCAGTGATTTCTATTTAAACTCAAAAAATCTCTGTCTCATTTCCGTCCATCTGCCCCAGATATGTGAAAATATACATAATTACATTGGTTTGATTGGATCAAGGGTTGCTCATTGCCAATGGAGACAAGTTGAATGTAATTTGCAGTTAAAATTGTATCTCCCAAGCCATACCAAATGAAATTCAAGAAAACCTCACCACCTCATGTTCAAGTTGTTTTACATGTATATGAAAGAGACACAAGTAGATCTGCAGCTGCAGTCAATTCTATCACGCACTCAAATTGAAACATTGAATTAAGCACTGATCCAAATGTCGATTTTGAAACGCTCATTGGAGCATAAATTTTCAGATCTTCTTGTTCAATCAATAGTCACGAATTGACTGATGGTTTAAAATTATCTAATGTTGTGTTTTATCATTATCTCTCATATATCTTTTCCTTCTGTATGAACTTTTCATTCGATTATGCAGTTGAAATTTTATGGTGAATATAGTTACATTGGCAGTAGATTTTTCTAGGGTCTGTCTATAGCCAGGAGAAAAGCATACAAAATGGCTATCACAACTGTGCATTTATATATTACTTATATTTCTCACAATAGTTAAGTAATATTGGATTCTGGGTATTTTTTGTTTTTGTTCCTAATAAAAAAATCAGGGAATATTAATTTGGATTCTAGAGCTATTTCTCAGACATGCTTTGACTGGTCACACTCCAAACTTATCACAGAGACCATGTACATTGTATGGTGAATTACATATATATGCACATCAATTTTCCATTTGATCATATATCGTACCATTTATCCCTCAAATTGCTTGATTTTGATACTTAAATGTATCCAGAACCAATTTCCAACTATTTCATTCAGATTTTGCATCATGATTATGCATATTGTGTTACAGTTGCATATTGTATTTCTTCAGACAAAATTAGCCAACTGGTGGCCATTTTGTTTTTACTTTTGCCTATGCCATTTCCTTTGAATATATCACCTGATTATATTGAATTTGTGTGCACTAGTACTATACTCATCAGTATTACCATATGTTGTGTTGTTTTGTGATTTGATCAAATTTGAGCACTATCTACTGTGGTTGGTGGGCATTAGTTCAGCTATAATGTGATACTTAAATGTTGTACTACAATGTGTGTTTGTTTTATATTTATCTCCCAGTTAATACACAGTGAGGATTGTATATTCACGTTGAATTATTCAATTGTACGTGTCTCTGTAGGAGGAGGAGGGTGATTATGATAGAATCTGTGAAGAAGCCTATGTCAATGCCAAAAGAGAGAAGACAATACTGAATCGGGATTGGTTAGATTCCCCCTGGAGGGGTTTCTTCAAGGAGGTACCACTTGTGTACCCAAGTACTGGCATTGATGAGGAATCCCTGACTCACATAGGGAAAGCATTCAGTGCTTTACCACCTGACTTTGTTGTTCACGGAGGTAGGTCTTGAGCTTTGTACACATACTGTGATTGATGTTTTCGTTACATGTGTATACGCTGCTTTGAATTCACAGTGGCCATAAATCATTTCACAGAAAGTAAGCTTTGCCCTTGAAATTTTGTGGGTAGAGTTGTGGAGAGATTCATAACATGAATACATGGAACAAGGAAGATGGAAATTTAAAAATATATGGTTCCAGTTATTTGTTTTTTCTGCAGACAAATATGATGAGTTAAATTATTGATAAATATATGAAATTTTTTTACCAGAATTCTTTTTACACTGTAAAAGGACTTTCACTTGATAATTATTTGAATTATAATTTTTTCTATCAAAATGCTGGTGTAACATTTTTTTCAAATTTATTTGGATTTTTCAATAATTTCTCACTAAATGCAGATGGACATAATTACTACTGGTATTGATCAAAATGTTTTTTGGAAAAAATTGTGCATTATTTTTTGTGAGGTTACAAACGTTGACTTTGCTGATCAAAGGGTTGATGATTTTCACAGTGTATAACTCTAATCAAGTTCTTTAAAATTTCTAATAGCCATTTCTTTGCATGAAGTCACTTTTGACGTATATTCCAGGTTACAATAGTTAGCTCATAGAGCATTTATAAATAATTGTTTTTACCTGCTCAGGTCTGAAACGTACTTTAAAATCCCGTGGTGAAATGGTAAAGAACCGTACTGTGGACTGGGCGTTAGGTGAGGCCATGGCATTTGGATCGCTACTAAAGGATGGTATTCATATAAGACTCAGCGGACAGGACGTGGAGAGAGGAACATTCAGGTATAATCACCATTTTATGTCAAAGCACTTATATTAATAATAGTATAAGAATGTACATGTTTTTAAAATTAAGATTTGGTTCATTAAATATAGATTTAGGTGTATTGGCCCTCAGTAGCCTGCTAGTCTAAGTGAGTTTACCTATAGAGGGCGTCCTCATATCAAATTAGTCTTTTCTGCAACACATAACTTTCAGAATTTTTTTTTTTTTTTTTTAAATTGTTTGGGACTACATGTCAAATGGCATTTTGTAATGCGCTATCCTGGTGTCAACCAGGCTCGGTCGCACACAAGCACCTGCGGACCTTAACCAAGGTTCCCCCAAAGTTGCATTCGTTAGTGAATGAATCTCGGCCAGTGGAATTGGCCTGCCCATTGAGTCTGTGTAACACTCACCCAGGGAATAGGGGTCGACCCTTTGATGTTCAGCCTAAGGTAGGATTTGAACTTGGTTCTACCGATCATGAGTCTGGTGCAACAACCACTATGCTACCAGTGACCGGTTAAATAATAAATAAATAATCTTTAGTTTGTTTTATTTTCTGAGTCTAGGTTGGTCTTATTGGGTTTTATATCTGAATGTACTCATCGTACATACTATATTTGAGGTTGCAGAGACTCCACATGACAACCACAAAACTAAATGTCATCATGGGGAATGTTACACCGTACTAACTGGTATAGCACAGTAGCTGAGAAATAATCTTTTGTATTTTTGTCCCCTGTGCATAAAACAATTAACCCTCTCAAATCCCATCATTTTGGTGAAATAATTTTCACTTGTTTATCTATTTAAATATAAATTCCTTGATTTTATTATTGATATATTTCCTATCAGATAAAATAAATAAACATTGTATGTATATTTCAACTACTTTCCATAGTTTCACCTTTCAGTTTGAAATACAGTTAATAGTAATAATAATTTGTGTCTATTTCAGTCATCGTCATCACGTGCTTCATCACCAGACTAAAGACAAAGTGACGACAAAACCGTTGAATAACCTCTACCCTAACCAAGCCGCTTACACTGTATGCAACAGCTCATTGTCAGAGTTTGGTGTACTCGGTATGTAAAACAAAAGTGTACACGAACTGTAAAGCCCAACTGAAAATTCACATTTACTAATACAAATATGTATACTGTATTTTCTTTATTTAGAAGCACTGTATTTGACTTTAACCATAGACACACCTGTGTCATTTATGTGGGCACATGCACTACTAGAGTAAATATGGTATAAATTTGGATATAACATGTTTTTATGAAGCAATTATAGTTTTATATTGAAGAAATAACTGACATACCTATATGTTGCACATGCTTTAAATCATGTCATAGTTCCCTGACATGATTATGTCAATAATTTTGGCAGGAATTGAAGGTAATAGTGCATCATTTATTAGCATTTCTTAGTTAAAATCATTTTCATTTCAACTGTAGGATTTGAGCTTGGTTTCTCCATGACCAACCCCAATGCATTGGTTTGCTGGGAGGCACAGTTCGGTGACTTCTCCAACACTGCACAGTGTATTATTGACCAGTTCATCAGTAGTGGTCAAGCCAAGTGGATCCGACAGAGTGGTCTAGTTATGCTGCTGCCCCATGGCTATGAAGGCATGGTGAGTATATTGCTTATGCTATGACATCTCATAATCAAACACATTACAGAATTAGATTTGTTCATTTCATGACTTTATCGTACATTTCAAATTATAGGGTCCTGAACACTCCAGTGCGCGTCTGGAACGTTTTCTTCAGATGTGCAATGATGATGCTGATGTCATCCCTAAATATGAACCTGAAGATTTCGCAATTCAGACAGTTGCAAGACTGTAACTGGCAGGTGTTGAACTGCAGTACACCAGCCAACTATTTCCATGCATTGCGAAGACAGATTGCCCTACCCTTCAGAAAACCTGTAAGTATTGTTTCTATTCCTGCTATCACTCTATCTAATCTGCATGTTACAGTTCTTTATTGTAAGCAAAATGTCATGGAATCACAGTGTTGCATTATTGTTTTCCATATCACCCGACTCAAATTACTATGGAAAACATCTTTGTTTGAGAATTACCGGATTCTGCCGAAATTCGCCCAGGGCCGTTAAACGGCAGTTCGGGTTATAACAAAAATAAAATGGGACCAAATAACTGCCCAGGGTGATTTTTTGGCAGTTTTTTTAAGGTGTTATTTTTATCTTTTCTGGTGCCTAAAAGTTTCGCTGTAGTCATTGACGCCTATTCAAGAGTATTATCGTTTCGACAATAAGCTGTTATCGCTGTAAACAATGTTAAATTATTCTTCAAATGCTTAGTTTATCTTTTGAAAACAACTATTTTTAGCTCTGCTGTCGACTTTGTCGAGCGGAGCTTATCATATGAGTGATTGTCAGTCGTCGTTCGTGTCAATGTTTTACTTTTTCGACTTCTTCTTGAAAACTACAAGCCTGAATGCTTTGATACTTGGTGTATATGTACCTTGGGTAGACCTCTCTCAGATTTGTTCATTTTGTAATGATATCTTTAATTTTCTAATTTTGGTGAATATTTTTGTCATTTTTGGTAAAAAGTGATATTTACGACTTCTTGTTGAAAACCGCAAGTCCAATTGCTTTGATATATTATACATATAGGTACTACATGTGGACCTCTCTCAGATTTGTTCATTTTCTAATGATATCTTCTGTTCTTTAATTGCCATGTGCATTGCTAACAGCGGAGCTATCTTAGCAGACAGGCTGCTTGTTTTTATTTAAAAACAAATCATGCCGCTTTCCCATCAAAATCCAAGCCAAAAGATCATACAGCAACATTGGCAAATCTCTTCCGCACGTACTGCGTTCAATAACATTAACATATTTAAATGAGCTATGGTATTTTGATCACGTTGGCATCATTCATCGTTTTCATTGGTTGATTATCGATTTGACCTGTCAGGTCAAAGAACACCTGTCTCAGGTCAAACATGGCGGATATTCATTTCCACAACATCGAGCGCTGAAAATGCGATTGGATTTTTCAATAAAAATATAAGCCCCCCCCTAAAAAATATTTGATGATAATTATTTGAAAATTTGAACTCCAAATAAGGGCCCACCAGCCGTGAAAACACCCAGGGAGATTTTTCGGATGGCGAATTTACGACAGAATCTGGTAAAACTTTCTGTACAAATTGTACAGAAAATCATCAACAAGCAGGTTCACACATTTGGGTGGAATAGTGCATAGATGTTGTCAATGTAAACACAATATCAGTTCTGTAAACACGTGCTACTTTATATTAAATAGAAAATACTGTAAATAAGATTTATGTGACAAACATTTATGCTTTTACACGTCTTGATATATGAAAAAAATAGTGTGTACTGCATTATACAGTAAATGTGTCTTTGTTCTACTCAGCTGATTATGATGACACCAAAAAGTTTGCTACGTCTACCTGAAGCCAGATCTTCATTTGATGAAATGCTTCCAGGTATGTCATTACAGTATTATTATTACATTCATAGATTCCAACACACACCTACAGTATTTGGGCTTCTGCTAATGATTCGCCAGTCAACAATCATGAGTTTCATTTAAATTTGAGTAAAACCACTTTCTTACAGAAACAACATTTCAGCGTATGTACCTTGATGACGGACCAGCCTCAGAGGAACCTGAAAAAACAAAGAAACTGATTCTTTGTACCGGTAGAGTTTACTATGACATTGTAAAACAGCGTGATGAACGAAATTTGGCAAAGGACATTGCTATCAGTCGTATTGAACAGGTATGCAAGATATAAGCATAAGTTTTTCCTATACCCTCTAGTGCTCAATTTGCTCAAAGAAACTACCATGAAAACAGTCACTGATTAGTTTTATATGATATTTTCTTCCAGGTTTGTCCGTTTCCATCTGATCTTGTGAAAGCAGAAACTGACAAATATCCCAATGCTAAATTAATGTGGGTGCAGGAAGAGCATAAGAACATGGGTGCCTGGAGCTACGTACAACCAAGATGGTCAACTGCTCTGAACAGGGAAAGAAGATTCCGGTAAGAGTTGTAATATAACTTCTTGTTAGCTTCATTATTGATGAAGTTGAATGAAGCTATTCATCATTACTTGTTGTACATTATCAAGCATCAACTTTACATATTGAATATATTCTAAAAAAGCAATAGCCATCTGATAAAGAAAGAACCTTGGGTGTTTCCTTACTTAGATTTTTTCATTTGTGACGATAACTTCATTCTCTACTTTTAGTGAATATTTCTTGACATTATTGGTAAAAAGTACAGGGTGATTGTAGTTTGAGAGGGAAGTAAAAACTGAACTTTTAAATAATGTGCAGTAGACCAGTTACTGAGGATGCATTAGAGATTGTTCGTATCATCTTAGACGAAAAGCAAGCTATATGCAGAAAAAAACGTCTGTCCTTGTTGTTGCAGTTGTCATTGACTCTTTGTCTTGAAACTTTTTCCTGTGGTCAAACAGTTTTTATCAAATTTTGTACTTGCTTTTGCTATGTAAAGAAAAAAATATGTGAACTGTCATGGATATGTACCCCATCACAATATGAAATGTATTACATCATGTTGATTATTTTATTGTTTTTGTTTACAGTTACGCTGGCCGCCCAGCATCTTCATCCACTGCTACTGGTAACAAGTTTACCCATCAAAACGAGCTGCAGAACTTTTTGAATGCTGCACTTAGTCTGGACTGAGTTATTGAAGAACACATGGTTTTTCCTAAATATATCATAAATCTGTTACATCTACTGCTTGTTTGCCCCAAAGTGTTGTTTTCTTATTCAGACGTGTGAATGATCAACTTTTTTGCATCCTATGACATCAAACTTTTATTTGATATAAGCTCGGTGGGGTACAGATTAGATTGTTTGGAAATTTCAGTTTTCCTTCAGAGCGTTTTAATATCTGATTTTTGTTCTCATGACAAAAAAAAAAGTGCCTTTCTTTGAACTCTTTCTCTCACAAATGTTCCAAGGATTTTTTTAATGTAAGGATAAATGGTAAAATGCTGCTGTTAATCGGGGATAATATCAAAAAAGAATGAATTAGTTAAGCTATGGAAACTTTTAAATTTTTTTAAAGGATTTAACGAGTGATGCATCACCCCTTCTTGTCTTCAGTGTTACATTATTGTATAAAACCTATCAGGGGTGGGTAGAAATCTTGCAAAGATTTGTAGAAAAGCGTTGTATCATAAATTTGTATAAATCTTACTAAAGGATTGTTTTAAACAAAGCCCATGTTTGATCATCACATATATTGCCAAATATGGTGATTCATTAGCCAAATATAATGATTAATTACCCAAATATGGTGATTCATTAGCCAAATAAGTTTTGCTATAACATATGGTGGATATTTACGATTGGTGGTTGTTGTTGATGATGATGAGGTAATTTACATTGAAGTTAATTATTATCCATATTTAAAGAGTTTTTGCAAAAACCAGACTGCAGTTTATTATTTGAGTGTCCCCAATGTTTTATTGATGTAAATGCATATTATTAAATATTTGAAATAAGTTGGTCAAGAAATCGTTGTGTTTTGTTGTGTGTTTCTGTTGATATTCAATTGGAAATTTTCATCTTGTAGTACAGACAATTGTGTTTCTGCACATCAACAAAAGTGTCACAACCCAATCTAAGAGGGTCAGCTGGCAGTCATTTTATTTGACAAAAGTCAGCAATTTTCTTCTTTATTTCACAATTCAGCTGATATAGTCTAACCTGTATATAGGGACCACCCAAAATATTGGGTGTTTTTTTATGGAGGTTGATGAATACAAATATGACAAGTTTAAGAGGTAATTTGTCAACAGATATTTGAAAAGAGAAAATAAATAAATATATAAAAATAATTAAATTGAAAATGTGTACAGACCAGTGTAAAAGAGTACATAATGCAATTACCTTTCATTATTTTTGACTTTGTACATTGATTTATTTGACCAAACTAATACCAAAATTTCAGTCATTGGTCACAATAAGACAAGTGGTGTTGTATAAAGGTCAATTGCATGTAAATTGCACAAAGGAGGGTCACTATGAGCACAGGGAGCCCAGGAACTATGATCAACTGTACGCACTCCCTATGAGCGGGGGTGGGGGTGGTGGGTATCGGCTGGTATCTAGTGTAAGAAATAGACAAGGCATGAAGGCTCCAGCCAGCTCACATTTTTTAAACTCAAAAAAATAGACGAAAAGAATGAAAAATAAAATCTAAAAAAAATACCAGGTTGAAGAATATTAGTTGCTCCTTCGAATTTCGCCAAAGCCTTACCTACATTTTATCGATATCTGCAGAATAAATCAAGAAAACTACACAAATTTACTCCATTTAGGAATTCCTAACGGTTAGTCCGAACGCATGACACAGTTGGAGGTGTGGCCTGTTCACCATTTGTCAACAAACAATCACAAGACTGGTTACGAACCAGTTGAGCAAGGCTAACCGAGTCGTGACCTTTTACACAATTTCCAACATTTCTGATTTCGTTGAAGATGTGTGCTCGTCTACATTCTGTTTTAAATAAGTTTCATGCAGCATTATCGACTTGTCAAATGTACATTTCACCTAAAGCACACATGCAAAAGTACTGAAAGCTCATTATCTGCCTGAATTTTAAAATGTGCTATGATTTGTCAAAACTCTGTTCAAATGATGGAACTTCGTAGAAAGGTGAATGAAGAATACCAATATTACAGCTGTGCAAAGAGATATTTAGAAGACAACCACCTTCATATAATTTAACATCAAGATTAACTTGTGGCATTGAATAAATTTATAGTCAGTCACAAGTTTCCTGGATGATATCATCTCCAAATAAGACTAAAAGTGAGTTAACTCACTCAAGCTTCTCCAAAAACTTTGTTGTGCCAGATAGCAAACACATAACAGAGTTGGGGAGAAAAGTAAACTTACGACAGGCGTATCAAATCAGCACTGTGGAAAGTAAAATACCAATACTCTCCATTCATTGGCCAATTTAAATGCATGCCACATGCAAGGAGTCCCCCCAAATGATTGACAATGTGTACTATGATTGTCAATCAACCAATCAAATGCACAATTAATTCTCAATGTTAAACGTAGTGTACTCTATGCGGATTAGTTGAGTTCCATGTTTTGTAGCTCCGCCTTCATCGAAGATAACCGAGCAGAGATTATGGGTTGGCTGGACCTGTTCTGTCAAAAGTATGTCGTCTGTCAACTTATTTTTCAAGCGACTTCTTTCTCCAAATTTTCTGGTGCCAAACTTTATCAACATCACTCCAACCTATGCTTCCAACTCAGTTAACAATTACAGTGGAGCTCTCTTGGTCGCTTGTTTACATTGTCAGTAGAGGGCGCTTATACAGACTTCCAAAGACAAATATACAGTGCAATACTGATTCATTTATGTATTTAAAGTGCATACACTACTAATAGTGCCAATGCATTATTCAACTATTTAGTAATCCCTGTTTGTTCTTTGCTCATTGAGAAATCATTGTATTAAGCCTAGTAGGCCATGTCTAGACTTTTTCAATCTTGTGTCCCACTAACCTCAACTGTCCAGTGTCTGTATACTGCCCTCAATAAAATTTGATTGAAATGTACCGGACATTCAATGAGCTGAACTGGTTCATCAGATGGGGCCGGCGATTAAAAATATAAATTTTACATCTGTTATACATGTAAACCACCGATTAATTATACACATAGGAGTACATGTATAACAGTAATAATTGCTAAACCAAACAGCAATGTTACAAACTATGCTGGTTAGTTACGCAATACAAGTAAGTGACACCTATGAAGGCATGGTTATGCCCTCACTTTTGGCTTCAAATAAAATCACAGGCATTTATTATCTATAGGTCTAACGTTTTACAAAATGTGTTGAAATAAAATATGTACAAAAGTTATGAAATCCACCAAGCCATTTAGCATATGTAAGTTAATAAACATTTTTTTTAAACATAATTTGTTAAAATTTGTGATGTTTTATCGCTGCTAATAAGCTTTCCTAACAGCGTCAAGTGCTGCATGACAGAGTTTATCAAGCTGTCCATCACCACCTATGAAAAATAAAATGAAAGTATTATTAGTGACACAGTGACTGCAAACGCGATTCACCTGATTTTAAGGGTTGACCTCTACATTTTAAGGCCCGTTTTGTTTCTTAACAGATCAAGCAAGAACTCCAGCTGAGCCTTGAAAATGACATTGTTAGTATAGCCTTGCCTTGAATCTGTTTATTCAACTAATCAAAACTATATGGTCAATAGCTGACTATTAAGTGATACACTACTGGGTTTGGTTAAACTTTGTACAGTTTTTCTTGCCTTGACTGTGCCATAGATGACAGGGAAAAATATTGTCATTGTCTCAATCATAAGCTGTTTCTTGTGGTTACAATAACAGGCTTTATTGATTTTTTTCGAACATTTTATTAACTACCGATAGTTTGAGATCAATTTTTATGTATGTTATGTACGTTTCAAGATGTTGGTTAAAATTTGGCTAAAATAAAAATATAGACATAAAAATAAGTGCACAGAATAAAGACATACATGTACTGCTGATCATGAAGCTAGATGTTAGTATTACTGTATGTTAGTATTACTGTATGTTAGTATTACTATATGTTCTCCAAGACCTGTTGATCAGATACATGTAGTACTGTAACCTGATATGTTCCATTATGAATAATACATAATTTTTCCTGCCAAAATAGCCAGTATTTTTTCTGCCATATTTTGCTATAGATACGGTATATTTCTGTACCATATAATGTGTAATTTATGTTATATTATGCTATAAGTAGTCTTGAGGTTAAGTATATGCAGTATTTTTTGAGGAACATGAATATTAATTTTTATGTAATTACGATGACTTCATAATTCTTGTTCATTTGAATCACTTTGGGTAGTTTTTAATTGCATAAATAACTATTTCATCAGCATTCCACAAGAACCAAACTTAATCTTGTAAAAAATGCTAATTAATTAAAAAGGTAAGTAAATACTGTACAATCTGTATTAGAAGCTGCATCCCTAATAGAAGCCACACCAATTCTTTTTGAAAAATTGAGAACCAAAAATTCTTCATATGTGTAGATGCTTTAATAGAAACTGTATCCCTTTTGTCGCAATATACCATTTTAATAGAAGCCGCAGCTTTTAATACAGATTTCACAGTAATTGTTTACTGTAATTACACAAGTAATCTTTTCACACACCAACTAACTGACAGACTGTGTGAATGAGTCAGAAATGCTACATCTAAATTTTAGCTACATGTAGTATTTTCTTGCAAACCTTTCTTTTGATATAGTATATACTGTTTAAGGAAATGATCATACCAGGCAGGGAAAGCATCAGGTATAGTTTGGCAACACGATGTTAAATTTTATACACTAAATATTCATTTGCTAAGATTTGTGAACAGTCATGTTGTTTTTAATTGTCGTTTGAAATTTAGAAACCTTTACAAATTTGTTAAATAAAACAAATTTACACCTCAATTAAACCCAGTGTGATACATACCATAATCTAACTCTCGCTGGTCACACTGATAAATTAATTCACCATTTACAATTAATTCCACCACGTTCCAATCATCAATTTTCTCAAGAACAACTTGATGTCCGTCAGCAGTCAAAAAATCTGTTGGTAATAATTATGAAATTATAAATCTTATCACAAATTATTCACTCGATTTACACTAAAATTAGCAAAGGCATGTACATAACCCTTAAAATATATATAAACTCAAAAACGAAAGTTAACATTGTTATGGGCCCCTGTAGTGACAACTCATTAGCCAAGTTCTATTTGAATAATGTGCAAGCTCTTTGTAGAATACTGTAAGCAATCAAATCATCTCGTTCGGATTTGAATGAGAGTGATTTTAAAAAGTTGGGTTGTATAGGAATAATCCGAATGAACATAATATTTATTGATGCATAAAATCCTTGGGAAAGGATAAAAAGGGTATTACAAAACAGAAATTAAAAACTATAATCTAAATAATATAGAATGACCACCAATTGTAACCTAATACACTGATAGTTGTTGCAGTTTTGTTTCATAGCTGTTTTTAAGAAGACAGCTAAGGCTGGAGCTAGTGTAGGGTTTCCCATAGGTGACTAACACAAAGACAATGAACCATTACTAACATAAATCATTTTCTTTAATAAATCTGACATAAATACCTTCTAGTCCTTCAAGCCGTGACAATCTGTGTTCAACTAGACCACATGACTCGTAGTCCATATCGTATCGTAACTATTGCATTGGCAGGCATTCTGTGATTCCAACTGACTTGCAACTCGGTCTGTTCCGGAAGTTTTTAAATTGAGCAATTTAAAACAAGCATAAATAGTGCCACCCAACCTGCGACTATGTGAAGCTCTGTTTCTTCCAAGCAAGTGTATAAAAGGTATCTTCCAACCATTAATGTGAAATATGTCAAATTATTGGTTTTACGTGGAAACCATACATGTAGGTTGTTTACATTCGGTTCGATGTTGTTAGGTTACGTACGCTTCGGTTGTTTGGTATCACATTCCTCCAGTGTGACATTGACAAAGTTCAGATAGTTCAAACAATCAGCTTTACTGAGTTGAAATGTTCATACATTTTGATAACATTACGATAATAAGTGTCTTCTAAAGTACTTCACACAAACAGAATTCGCCAGAAAAAAAACATAAAATAGTCTGATGTAAAAATCAAACGACATTGACGCCGCCCTCAACGCTCGCACTCAATTATCCCTCAAAATGGCGACGAGTAAGACCATTGTAAAGCTGCTGCGTCAAATTTCGGTGGTGACCGGAGCCTCAGGGTAAGTACCAACTATACATATACGAATGACGTTTTATCTACTTCATAATACCAGGGAAAATTTCCTTTTACATCTCACTCCTCCCTCTGTAATAGGGGGACTGTGATTGAATCTAATTTACAAACTCGACCAAACTGTGAACTGCACTTGAGCAGACAGCCTTGATCATTCGAAAAAAATTCTTATCCACCCATCGTAGATAATATGTTTCCCCCGGGGTATTTTTAATGAACTCTGATTGCTTACAATTTAACACGATTCTAATGTTGTCTCTGGATTCATGTTCGGATTCATTTTATGTTATACATGTAGCATTAAAGGGCGGCAGTCGTCGCGCTGCGCATGTGCGACATTTGTGTTGATAAACATTGATTTTCCCATAATCCAATGCGTTTTGAGTTTTGCCCTGGATGCCACTTGCACAAATTACCGCCGGTGACTTCTTCGATACCTTCTAAATACCAAACAATACCTAATTAAAGCTTGGTAGGCTCTCAGTTTGTACCAGTTGGTGTGCACAACAGTCAAAATCTTTGTTTACAAGAGACCCATATCTCGCGCATGTGAGGTGCTACAACTACTGCCCTGATGCCCATTAAAGATGAAATGATGTTCTATATTGTTGAGTACATGTATACATGTTCTTGACAAAGAGTCTCTCTATTGCTTCTCAGTATACAGACCCATGTGAAGTGTTCAAATGTAATTGCTACATGTCGACAGTTTTCATCTCTCCAACAACCAAAGTTACTTATGAAGAAAGAAAGAGTGCCTACAACTTTAGTTACTCAAGGTTTGTATTATAGATTTAAAACAAAATTGTCAGAACTGATTATGGGCATAGAAAGGCCTGACACAACAATTACCTATTGACTATATTGAGATATTGTCTGTTGTGCTAGTAAAATCAAACAACTGTCAAACTTATGTAGTTAAAGGTTTTTGTGGTGATAAAAAGTACAGGTACAGTCACACGTGTAGTAGCGACCATCTTTATATCAAGACCACCATATAATGACTGCTTATAGGCAGTTCCAACTCTAAAGGCACTACACAAGAGCAAAGACCACCTGTTTTATATGATAAAACTTTCAGCAATATTTATGCAGTTTCATCTTTGTTTAGAGTCTAAAATAATAATTATTATTCCATTTATAAAACAATTTTCTCTAACTTATTTGATTTTTATCATCTCAGTTGATCTCATTATTTTCTGGACAAATATTATGTCCAATGTATGAGTTGGCAACGAATAAGAAAATTATACATATGTACATCCGTCATTTAAAGTGCCTGTGCAATGCCCACCCTCACGTTTCCCATTTTAGATCTGTGTCCCACTGAAATGGACAGTATTGATTTTTTTGCTGAAAATGATTACTCGTATCCAAGTAAATTTGGGATATTTCTCATGTTGTAGCCACGCCCACCTATCCTGAAACGGTCGACTGTTTCCGGATTTCCGACTCTCGCCGAAAGTGCGCCACCAAATGACAAAATGTGAGAGGATGTCCTACCCCTGAGCAGTAATAACACTGGTCATTCAGTATACTTTTAAACGATATACATTTTTCGATCAGTGTTTTTTCTTTTTTTTGTCTATTTTATTTTTTTGAGAGAGAGTTTTTAGATGTGTTGTGGGCAGTTGCAGTGAAACGTATAGTCATAGGGTATGTATTCACACATTTCTAATCGATCGGAAAGTGCGACATCGATGGACGAAAGCCACTTAACCTCAGATTCTTTTTTTTGTTTTGGAAAAATGTCCTCGTCCATGAAAAAAAACACAACTAGGTTTAAAGAGAAACGCCGACAACGTAAACCTGGCGCAACACTTTTGAAAGAAATAGATTCCGGACCAGCCCATGATCACCGAGGCGATCCTGATTATCGTTTTATAGAGACCATTTAGTCCCTCAGTGTTAAGTAAAAGGTAGCAATAATTCTGACAGTGACACGAAAAAAGAAGCGTCGGGCAAACAGGAAATTACACAGCCCTTACACACTGCTAATTGTTTTCATTTTCGAAGGCTAAAAGTTTCTGAATTGTTTGGTGATTGCTGTTGAATGTCGAATTCACACCTCTGTTCTTTTTTTACCTCCATGCTTGCAGCTTGATCTGCGTAATAATTTATGAAATAAGAATCCGGGCTTGGTCAATGTGTTTCCACCAAATAAAGTTTTAATATGATGTTATAATTATGACAATCACGCCATGGATCACGCTAACTCGAATCCACTCTGAATTTATCTGTATGTGTGCTGATCTCGATTATTTTTGTTATCCAATTAAACGCCGCTTTCAACGCGACGCGTTCACCTATTTCAACAAAATGTCAATTTATTTCCACGCGGCTGTCATTTATTTAGTAACTGTGATTTGTCGTTTTTTTTTTAATTATTTTATAGTGATCACTATAGTCTAATGTTTAGAATGTCAAAATATGTTCTCTTTTATTTTAAATTTGAAAGTTTTACTCAGACGATCGATGAAATAAAACAGTGTAGTGACGTGCCGAGTAACCTGCTAAATAACGAGATAATTCCGACGTCAAATTCTATTTTGTCCAGCGACAGTGTACAAACGTCCGCCGGTGTCGG